ATAAAGCTTGGAAGAGAAAGGACTTAGATCACTGCCAGGGAAGGAGAGGGAGAAGAAAGGGGGTAGAGCCAGGATCGGGCTTGCGTGTCTTGATTTCCCTCTTGTCTAGGGTGACCAGCCAGCTCATCCTGCTTTGCCTGGGACTGTTCCGGCCTTAACATTAAAAGTCTTGCGCCCTAAGGACTCCCTCCCGCCTGTCATGGGTTTGTTGGGGGTGGATGGCCACCCTACTCATGTCCTTGGGCTTTTTTGCTACTTCTTCTTTCAGTCCTAGTGAGTTTTGGGGCAGGAGGGAGTGCAGTGTCTGACAGTGTAGAAATGCTGGCTCTGGTTTCAGGCAGGTCAGCAGCTGTTCCTGTGTGTCAGGCACAGCCTGTACTGTACGTACTGGGAATTAAAGAAAGTTAAACCTTCCACAGGAGTTACTTCTGTTACATAAAGTGAGAACGATGTTTTTGATAATTTGGGCAGTTAAGCTTTAGCCCCATTCTTACCTTAGCAGCTGTAATCAGAGAGCATGAGAAGCATCTGGAATGCTTTCCATTGGTTGGTAAGGCAGTGATTCATTTATTATTTTTCCCTTCTGATTTCTGATTCTGATTTCTGAATCTGTTTCTGATTGCACTGTGGCACTGAAGACCTTAGGATTCACACAGCATGCTACTCCCTGGTAGCTATGTTGCTGTTCTTTTCAGATGTATGTCTACAGCAGCAGCATGGCTTTTGTGCCAGCTAGTGTAGTGGTCGCGTAGTCTAAAATGGGAAGGCAGCTTTGGGTCCGTGTGCCATTGAGTGACTTCTGGGGATTTGTTTGGAGATGTACCCAGCATTTCCCACCTAAGTAGTGCTCTGTGCCCTCAATTAAGCATCACCCTGAAGTATTGCTTAATGTCCTATCACAGTTTCATGGTTTACTTCTGTTCTAAAATAGGAGAAACTTGTATCCAATTATCTGAGGCTCTTAATTTGTTGGGCACAGGGTGGTCACTAGGGGGTCATTTCTTCCTTAGATTTACAGCTTACTTGGTCCTCGGTAGCTTCAGAAGACTCGGCTCTACTGCCGTGTGAACCCAAGTGCTATTCCTGTGATTTCTGTCTGTTGTTACATCATTTCTCTCTCTGGACTATTACGATGTTACACGTTATAAAAGAGTGAAGACATCGGGGCGCCTGGGTGGCTCAGTGGGTTAAAGCCTCTGCCTTCAGCTTAGGTCATGATCTCAGGGTCCTGGGATTGAGCCCTGCATCGGGCTCTCTGCTCAGCAGGGAGCCTGCTTCCCTTCCTCTTCTCTCTGCCTGCCTCTCTGCCTACTTGTGATCTCTGTCAAATAAATAAATAAAAATCTTAAAAAAAAAAAAAGAGTGAAGACATCAAATAGTTTCCAAATCTGTTCTGATGTCAGAGGTTGTCAACCTTTTTACTACCAAGAATATTGTGTCCTGCTGACAGTTTGACTTGGGAGTTTAATGGATAAGAATTAAGTGGCACCTGGGTTTTGTTGGGCTTAGTAATAGTGTTAAATTTTAATAGTATTAAATTGTACTTATTTTTTCCCAAATGTTATGAAATCTTTATTTTATACAAGTCTTTTAAAAAAAAATTAATTCAGTTAGCCAATGTAACAGTACCCATCATTAGTTTTTGATGTAGTGTTCATTCATTCATTAGTTGCATATAATACCCAGTGCCCATCACATCGTGTGTCCTCCTTAATGCTGTCACCCAGTTCCCCCATCTCCCAACCACCTCCCCTTCTGCAACCCTCAGTTTGTTTTCCAGAGTCCAGAGTTTCTCTTGGTTTGTGTAAATTTATTATCTCACATGTGAATAAAAAAAGCAGAATACTTCATAATTTGCATAATAGGGAAACCTGCAGGGGCTATCTCCCCTCTCTCCATTCAGAAATTTTTTTTACAGCTGTTTTTGTATTTTATTTTAGGCAAAAGTCAACAACTCTAGTTTAATTGGAGTGGGCTACACTCAGACTCTGAGGCCTGGTAAGTATTCCTGATAAGTAGGATTGGTGTTTTAAAAATTATTTTTCATTTCTCAGCTTCTTACTTCGTAAACCTTTCAAAGAGTACAGTGAACACATTTACCTTTTGCCACAGTTTTTTTTATTCCTTTTTTTTTCTTTTGCTGGGGTCTTGGGAAGTTGGGGCTATTCTGACACCTCCCTAAATGCTTCAGCATGTGTCTACTTCGAAATAAGAACGTCTGGTCTCCTGCATAACCATGATACCATTATCACACCTAAGAAAGTTAATAGTCCATATTATTATTTACTGTCCCTTCTGTAGTCACTTGACTCACTCGTACCTGAAATGCCTTCTAGTGATGTTAATTTCTCTAATCAAGGTTCACTCATTGCTTGGTCTCTATAGTCTCTTTTATGTGGTGTTTGGAGGCATGCTGTGTTTTCTAGAGCAGTACTTAACCAGACTTCAGTGTGCCTGAGTCACCTGGGGACTCTCGCTATAAAATGTACATTCTGATCCAGTAAATCTGGGGTGAAAGGTTCTGTCTTTCTAACAAGCTCTAACAAACAGGGGAGTAGGAGAGGGAGAAGCAGGCTTCCGGCTGAGCAGGGAGCCTAATGTGGGTCTTGATCCCAGGACCCTGGGATTATGATCTGAGCTGAAGGCAGATGCTTAACAACTGAGCCACCCAGGCGCCCCTGCATCACTGGTTCTTGCCACCACTTGAATAGCAAGTTCTAAAGCACTTGGAACTTTTTCTCCCTTCAAATAGGGATATTCTTCCAAACTTTTCTATATTTGGCCTTTTTGAAACCTAAAGAATTTAGGTTCTTTATGAAAAACCTTCTTTATGAAGAACACCTGTATACCCTTTCCCATATTCACTAATTAACATCTCCTACATCTGTTCCCTCTTGCATATCTGCATACATATTCCCTTTTTTCCACATCCCCTTTTCAGTTATTTAAATGTATGTTTTGCGGACATGCAGACACAGCTTCCTAACACGCATCTCCCAGAGTAAGACATTTTCTTCATAACTACAATACCACTGTCGCAGCTAAGGAAATTACTGTTAGTTGAACAATACATAATACATAGTCTACATTCAGTTTTCCCCACTTATCTCTTTATTATAGTTGTCCTGGTGCAAATACAATTGTCTTTTAATGTCTTAAAGTCTGAATAGTGTTTTGAATGTTACTGTATTTTCTAGAGCACTTTGAACTTCATTAACATTTTTAATGCTCTGTTAGTTGATCCTTAACCTAGGATGGGGCCCCCTGAATTCTCTCCAGTATCTCTGGAACTCCCAAGTGCCCTCTGGTGGCTGGCACTAGTAGGTCATCTCACAGGCTGAGGGAGGGACAGGCAAGCTCTGGGACGATTATTAAAGACTGCAGACTCTTCAGGTGTTTCAGGCAAATCATGGTTGCCTACTTTTGTTTACAGGTGTCAAGCTTACACTGTCTGCTCTGGTAGACGGGAAGAGCATTAATGCTGGAGGCCACAAACTTGGGCTTGCCCTGGAGTTGGAGGCTTAATCCAATTGAAAGAAACCTCTGGGAATGGATATCAGAAGATTTGGCCTTAATATATTTCCAGTGTGACCAGCAGGCTCCCCTCCCCCCCCCAAGAAGGTGATCAAAACAAAGGATGATCTAAACAAGAGCTGTATTTTAAATATTTAGACAGTCACTTGTTAGCTGGTTCCTAGTTGGTTATCTAGTTACCAATGCTGCAGTGGTGCAGTCACCTATACATTATTTAAATGTATTTAACTGTTAAATGCGCTACCCACCAATAATGAAATAGACCTTTATGAAAACTGTGCAATTGTGTGCATGTTTGTTTTTATGTTCCTATTACTGAAAATTGCCATTGAACGAGATGGATCAGTGGAAGTTTTAAGATGAGGTTAAAGATTTTTTGTTAAATTCAGCCATCCTTAGAATTACTTTTGGTATCCCCAGACATTACAGATTATGAATAAAAAGTATACGTAATTAATGACTCCAAGTATTTGCAGAGTTTAAACACTTGCCAGGGTCAGATCTCCCTTGTATCTAGCTAGCACATTATTTTTCTGGGGAGTGTTTTGCTTTTTACCTAAATCTGTGTCAAAGTCCTCTGTGTCCCTAAAGTAACTCCATGAACTTTTTGGACTACAATAAAATAAGAGGATATATGCCTTTATATCTTCAGTTTGTAAGTCTGTCCAGAGATCCATTGGATTGTTGTTGACCCCAGGCAAAGAAAGGCGTACACACTCGTCAGTGTGTACAGTGCTATGAGACTGGCAGGAATGGCCTGTGTGAATAAGACAATGATTTAATGGCAGACAGCTGGAACTTGAGCCAATTTGCTGGAGTCAGAATCTTTTGCTAGGTCAAACAAACAGGAAAAGATGTCTGTAAGTTGGGTGTGAAAGCACATCTGCTTTTGGGATACTCAAGAGAGGTGTGAAGTAGAGCAGCAGACATCTCTGCAACTCTGCCTGGTGGGGAGGTCATAGGCCGGTAGCTGCTGCGGCCCCTGTATGCCTGCTGCCTCAGAGCTAACAGGCAGCCTTCCCTCAGCTATGGCTGGACATTACCTGGTCCTGAACTCAGGACTGGGGTGTGGCACAAGTGAATTACCATTTGGTCAAAGATACATTGAAGAGTAATTTGGACGTATTTACCCAGGTGCATCCTAACAGCATTTTAACATGTGGGAGAGCGAAGGCTGGATCACACCCAGGGCCCTGAGGGTTGCATAAAATTCTAGGTACATCCAAGGAGATGGAGGATGATGGAAGTTGCCAGCTGTGGGCCCTTGTGGCCCCTGTGGCCTTGGCCTTGTTTGTTTTCATTCTTTCTTTCTTTTTTTTTTTTTAAAGATTTTGTTTATTTATTTGACAGAGATCACAAGTAGGCAGAGAGAGAGGGAAGCAGGCTCTCCGCTGAGCAGAGAGCCCAATGCGGGGCTCGATCCCAGGACCCTAAGATCATGACCTGAGCAGAAGGCAGAGGCTTTAACCCACTGATCCACCCAGGCGCTCCTATGGCCTTGTTTCTAATAGTCTCCAGCCTCAGAGGACACAGGCCTAACCCTGGTTCAAAACCTAACTGTATTCTAGGCTGAGGCAGTTAGTGGAAGAATACTTAATATCTGCCTTGACCTTCACCTGTGACGTGGAGACATGATCTTCCTGTAGGACTTCTGTGGGACTGGGATTTAGGGAAGTCCAAATGAGAGGAGTCAAGGGCCTGGCTCCCTGTCCACCTCCTCTCATAGATGTTGGTGTGGGAAAGCCTAACTTTATATTCATCTTCTTGTGGGGAGCTTTTAAAAACTGCCATACTTGATAGTCTCCTACCTATAGGCCTGTTTCACTCCTTTCTGGCCAGTGATCCCACCCAGTCCCTCACCTTCCTCCAGGACTTCAGGGGGAGGACAGGATATATACTCCAACCTTGAGGTCCTCAGGTCTAGGTCAAGTGGCCTGGTTCTGAGGTGATGTCCACTGAGCAGAGCCTCCACTGCAGAGGTGAGGTCGAGCTGAGTTCTGTGAAGACATGGGCAAATAGAACTGGCATAACCTATGAAAGCGCCCAGTGGCGAACCTGGTTGGCTGCAAGGACTGTTTCCTGTTGAACTCCAGATAGGGTTTTCCGGCCAGTCCCAGCTGCACCAAACAAGACCTTCATTCACTTGCCTCTCCTAGGAAGTGAAGTAGGAGGGAGACCAAGGGGTGGGGGCTCTACCCTGCAGCTAGCCCTCAGATCCTGTGGCGTGGAGGCAGACCTGAGCAGCTGGCCTCCTGTATGTATGTGGCCAGGTCAGTCAGAACTTTATATCCTGCCTCCAGTTAGCTGGCAGTAGACCTGGTGCCAGGTGGCTCTCAGGACTGTGCCAAGGAGGGGATGATGTCTGTGACCTCAGGGCCCCCTTTTGGTTTAGAACCTGCCAATGCTGGGCCTCCTCCCTACCCACTTTAGCGCCAAATATGGAGGCTCAGAAGATCGTGTCCCAGACCCCACTTTATTGTCGAATTTAAAAGTCAGGGTTGATGTCTGGGGTTCCCACATCCCTTTCCTTGAGACCACACGCTGAGGGTCGTCCCTAGATCTTGAAGGCTAAGGTGAGGCCGTCGCCCAGAGGCAGGAGGCTGATGTGGACCCTGGCGTCCCGCAAGATGCGCTCATTCAGGTTTCGCACACACTGGGCCTCGTTGTCCCGTGGTTGAGGCTGTAACACCTCTCCGCGCCACAGGACCTGCGGAGGGGCGGGACATGGGGGTGGTAGCAGCAGAGGGAAGAGGGAAGGTGCCTAAGCGAGCAGGGCAAGAGGTGGAGACCGCGGACCACAGGTGGGGAAAGCCTAGGGGACTGAAGGGGGCAGCCTACATGCGTGCACTGGGTGGGGCTTTGTGGCTTGGGGCGAGGCACAGGGAGTAGCCAAGTGAAAAGACAGAGACCGAGTGTAGGGTTTTCCTTCTCCCTTGAGCCTATCCCTTACACTGAGGATCGCGAGGATGCCTCCGGGGCGCAGCAGCTGCAGGCATCGCTCATAGTAGGCAGTGCAGTTCTCCTTGTCCGCATCCACCACCGCCATGTCGAAGGTGCCGGCCTCCCCTGCGGCCAGGAGCTCATCTTGCAGGGGCGGGGGTGGGGGGTGGGGGTGCGCAGATGTGGCTGAGTCCGCAGCCCCAGCAGTCAGAAGCCCCTACCCAAGCCTGACTAGGCGCTGTGACCATTCAAGGGACTTTGGCCGGGAGGGGCACTCTGCCATCCAGCATGTGGCCACATGGCAGCTGCGAAGCCAGGAGGCAGGGGAGCTGTCACTGCCTCAAGGCCCCCCTGTGGACCTGGTCACTAGCGCGCGCCCAGTGCCCCACTTGGAAAATGGTGCCAAGGCCCTTTCTACTCCGTTTGCTCACCCAGTGTCTCCAGGGCAGGCTTCAACCGAAGGTCGATCTTGTGCTCCTCCTCAGCCTGCGAAAGGAGTGGGATCAGAGCCAGCAAGTCTTTTATCCTGCAGCTGGGAGTGGCCAGGCTCCAAGGGCCTCTCAAATGTGTGGGACACTCACCTGCCTCCATAGGGGCCGCCCCAGCTCTGGGGGCCCCGGATTTACCTCACAGGTCACCACGCGTCCGGCCGGGGGCAGCGCTAAGGCCAATGCTAGGGCTGAGTAGCCTGTGAAAGTACCTGGGGGGCAAGAGATATGGAAAGGCTCGGGCCAGAGTTGGGGGACATGCCCGTGACTTAGGCCCCCAGGGATTCCGGCCGTGAGCCCTACCCAGGTCCAGTGCCTTCTTGGCCTTGATGAGTCGCGCCAGGTTGGCCAGAAGCTGGGCCTGCTCACAGGTCATCATCGAATCTCCCTGCGGCTGCTCTAGGGTCAGCTGTGTCGCGGTGGTGGGAGGGAAAAGGGTCGCGCCAGCACTGCCAGTCACCCAGCGCCTCCCCCCGCCCACAACCCCCTCCAGGTGCGCGGCCGTGGGCGTGGTGGTGGGGGGACCCGCTCTCCGGAAACTCCCACCACGCCCAGCCCGCGGAGTCCCGGAAGTCCTGAGAGCGCCATGGCCCAGCCCAAGGTCACACAAGCACGTGGGACCCGCTAGGTCTGAGGTGGGCGCCTGTTTCCGCCCCTGGCCCTGCTGACCAGCCGCAGGCTCCGCAGCGCCGGGTGCTCCCGCATGGAGCGGCTCAGCAGATACTGCCACAGGGGGTCGTCTTCAGGGGGCAGCAGGCGCTTCTCTCGCCGGGATCGCCAGGGATGGCACCGTCTTCCTGCCGCGGAGGGGTCCGGGTCAGGCCCTGGGACTCCAGGGCGCTAGGGCGGAGCTTCACCCGCAGCCCGCCTCGCGGAGTCACGGGCTCGGCTCCCGCACCTGCCCCGCCTGCGGGGGCTCTGCTGGGGGTACCGCAGGCCCCGCCCCTACTCACCCAGGAAAAGGCCGGTGGCGAAAGCGGCGCCCACTGCGGCGGAGGCCAGGGCCAGCGCGGCGGGCACCGAGAGCCGGGGTGCGGGATGGATCATGATGTGGCCAGGAGGTAGCTAAGTACGGGGTCACTTGGCTGGGGCTCCTGGGCCCGCACGGGGACCCGTCTGCCCTCCAGTCTCCGCCCTGTTCCGGCACTGCCCGCTGAGCTGCGGTCTCGACCGCCATCTGGCGACCACACAGCGTTACTGCAAGCCCCGCTGGAGCGAGCCGGGCGCCATCTGGTGGCTGCACTCGGAACTGCGCCCGGAGAGGGGCGCAAACCCTGCGTGTGGCGTCTGGGTTTTCCCTGCCCGCCCCTCAGGTCTACCGTACTGGGTCAGGGAGGAAGAATGGGATGGCCCTCCTGGGTATGCTGCTGCTTATCGCTGCTGTTTCTGCTGGGACCCTGGGGCCTATGTGGGTGGGTGGGCCCCGGGTGTAACAGGGTAGCAATGAGTACGTACGTGCTGGAAATGACAGGAGCTTGAGAGGGAGTGAGAGAATTAGCGGAGGATTCTGGGGGCAGGGGAGTAAGGGTATCCGGTTGAAGGAGTGACCTGGTTTGGGGACAAAACCAGAGGTGGGGCTTGCGAGTCCTGAGACAGGTCTCGTTGATGGGGCTCTGAGACAGGGTTCTTAGAATCCTCCCCTTGAGCGCCAGACAGACGTGGACCATCCTTGGGGCCATCATTCTCAGCCTGTTTCCTTTGTGTAAAACAGGAACCGCAGTCTTACTGCAAATGGCACCAGATCCCACAAGCTGGCACACAGTAGGTGCTCAAGAAATGGCCGCTGTTGGAGTGGAGACCTCTGGGGAGGAAAGTGATGGCAGGTGAGGTCGGCTCGCAGGGACCCTATCCGGCGAGCACAGGTGGAGCGCTCAGTGTGACGCGGCGTGGGGAAGGGGACAGAAGCCGCGCGGGCGCGTATTCTTAGGGAAGCTGCATTCGGGGAGCAGAGCACACACACAAATGGGGGGCAACTCCACTTTCACAATTTCCTCTTCTGCAAAATGGGGTTATTAGTCCCCCCACCCCCTCACAGGGGAGGAAATGAGAAAATCGAGGTGAAGGACTTAACACAGGGCCGCCCCGAGTGGGCTCTACCTGTTACATTTAGTGAAGTGCAAAGGGCAGAAGGTCATCCGATGACCTGCTGCTCATGGTCATCCCCTCCACCCCGTGGCTGCTCCCCCAGCCCGTTTAGTGTCCAGACCACAGCTCCGCCCGGGGCTGCCCAGGGGAGGCTCAGCATGCGCGAGGCCCCCAGACTCCGAGGCCCGGAGGCGGGTTTGTGAGGTTTTGGCTGGGGGCGGGGGTGGGTCCGTGTGGGCACGGCGGCGGGGGGCGGAGGCTCGCAGCGAGCTGGGCAGAAACTGCGAGCATAGCGCCGAACCCCGCTGGGAGGCCGCTCAGGAGGGTGCCCAGTTCCCGTCGAGTGTCCGGGAGCCGATGACCTGGGGTCAGGCGCAGGGGCGGGGCGGTGCTGGGCTGGGGTGCTGCCGGGTGGCCGCCTGCCCAGCTCCTGCCAATTCCCGGTGGCCCCCCGCTGGCGCCCTGCCCCGAGGGGAAGCGCCTTCCCCCTTACCCGGCGGCCCAGTGCATGCTTCTCTGACTTAGGGGGTCTCATTCCCCGGAGCAACGGCTGAGGCTGCGGGTCTCTCCCGGCGCTGAGCACACAGCAAATGCTAAATAATTGCTCTCTGAATAGTGTGTTGGAGCTGCGTCGTGGGGCTCCTTGCTGCCTGAGCTGCCAGTCCAGTCAACACAGTAACCGGAGGGGCCTTCTGCAGAGCGCCCGGCATTCTGCATCCAGCCTGCCTGTGAGGCGGGGTTAGGATTCCCATTTTGCAGAGGAGGAAACCGAAGCTCAAAGAGGCGCCCTGTCCACGCTGACCCGGTGCACTGGGCCCCCGCGGGAGCCAGACTCCCAAGAAGCGCTTTCCTGGCAGTTCCGCGGGGCCGGGGCCCTGGGCTCAGCCTGGGCCGCAGATCAGCACTTTGTCCCCTGTCTGGGGGTCCGGATTTGGGCAGGCCCCCAGCTCACACCCGAACCTCCCTCCCCGAGAGCCCTGCTTCAGGCGAGAGCTCGGGAGAGGGGGTTGGGGGCGGAGCGGGCGGGGAGGGGAGGCATGTCACCATATATCCCCGTCAGATTAAAAAACTAATTTGAAAAGATTAATGTATTCCATTCTTGTTACGCTGGCTCTGATACCTCTGGGCCCGCGGCCGCTCTGCCTCCTGATTATTGAATTTTTATGGCCTGGTAATTAATTGCAGATTCCCTGTTTTGTTCTATTTCTTTTTCTCTGACATTTTAATTTCAACAAAAAGCAGTGGTCTCCATGCAGGTTCTCTCTGGAGATCCTAATGGTCTATAAAACAGAATGACTTATAGACGTGGCACCCACTTCAGTTGGCGAGCGATTGTTTGAAACCTTGCTGATCACGCAAAATTTAATTTTTCCACCTCCCTCCCCCGTTTGCTACTCATTTCTTGTCTCTTGTGCTGTAGTGCCCGTGTCTCAGCTCACAATGGAGGGAGCAAAGTGTCGCCTCAGGATCCTACAGTGCCTTTTCCAGGCAGCTGAAAACAGTCTGTTCTGCTTATTTTTCCCAGAGGTGCCCCTGTGGTGGTTGTGGTGGTGGGGGTGGGCAGGTTAAGCCTCCCCAAAGAGCATGTGGATGTGGGCAGCTGCCCTCAGGAGGGGCTGGGGAGGGGGAGACCATTTCTACCCCTCTCAGTTGCCTTTTTGGTCAAATATAGGTCAAATGCCCCACTAGGCATCAAGGAAGGAACCCTCAGGCTCAGGAGAGCGGAGACAATGGGAGTCCGGTCATGCCTTTCCATCCGTGCCAGGAAGGGAGGGCTGTGACCCCCGACAAATTCTTAGCCAAACTAGGCCACTGGAAGCAGCTGGTCACAGAAATGGGTCTGGAAGAGGCCCCTGAGTTTCTATCATGGGACCCCCTCCCAACTTCTACTTCTCCTCCCTGCGAAGATCACACAGGCTGGGTCTTCTCCCCCAGAGGTCCCCAGGACTACGCAGCGCAGGGGCAGAAGAGTAGGCATATAGATTCAAGTCAGGCCTAAAGGATTGGAATGGGTTCCCAGGCTGTAAGGGTAGGTGAGGGGAGGCAGTAGGGGGCAGTGGGGACTGTGGCGCTCCAGCCCCATCTGAAGGCATGACCGCCACTAGGCTGTAGCCTAAGCCGCCATATGGGACGATGGGTGCAGTATGGCCAGAGCTTTTGATTTTTCAAGAAAGGTTGAAATTTGGCCAGTAATGTGAAACCTTACAATTTTAAGCATTTGGAATAGACTTTTTTTTTTTAGCACTTCATCAGGCATACTGAATAGCTCTTTGATCTCTGTGTCTGATCTGGCCCAAGGGACGACTGTTTCCTCTGACTGGGAACATGGATCAGAGAAGTTAAGACATAGAAGTGGAATCTGTTGGGGCTGCCTGACGCTTCCGCCCTGCTCCCACCTCAGGAATCCTCTTCCTACCTCTGGGCCCTCCATCCCTTTCCCACCCTCAGTGGACTCTCCCAGAGGCACCTTTGACTCTCTCTCCAGGTCTTGCCTTCTGTAGGCCTCTCCACACAGAAACTTGCAGCCTGAAGTCTGACCACATCTGGGGGAGGTTTGCCAAGCTCCCCAGAGAGAATGGTACCTGTTAACCTATGCTTTCCAGGTGGGAGGGGGGGAGTGCCCTGACTCCAAGGGTTCTGGGGCTAGTGGGGGGGGGGTGCTTCAGGCTGAGCGGGTGGATGCAGATAGACCATGAGTTAGGGGCTTCTGGGGCTCCTCAGGCAAGCTGGGAGGACGGAGAGCCATGCCTGCTCCGGTCTCCATGTGCTGAGATGCTGCAGAGCTGAGGCGGGCGATGCCTCAGAGTGGAATTTACTGTTTGCAACAGAGTGGATTCTGTTGTTTGCAACAAAGTGAAATCTGCTGTTTGTCACAGAGCAGCTTAGAAGGTTTGCAGTTAAGAGTCTGGCCTGGTACCCGTTCTTCTATGGGACTGACTCTCCCACCTCCAGCGGGCCCTGCTCACAGGCTATCTGATCTACCTCGGAGCTATTCTGCTTCTTTCTGCCTTGCTAACAGGAACCTGTTGTTGTTTGGACAATGTAGCCAGCTCAGATGGTCATGACCAACATAGTCCTTTTTTTGAAGATAAATTGCTTTCTCACCCTCAGCTGCAGTGAATTTCTGGCCTGGGATAAACGGGGTGCTTCTTAGGACTTTTTTCTCCTTTTCCTTGTTTAGCTGCTTCTTACCTTGAAAGGGGTTGTATAAAGATGAAATGCTTGGAACCATAGCAGCCCTCTTGTGCTTGTGAGGTAATAATGTTCAGGATTAAAAAACCCAAATAGTAAAGATGACAAGAGGAAAAGATGAGATGTTGATCCTTGAAGGCGTTGTTTAGCCACTGAACCAACACCACCCATCGTTTCCCTCCAGACTCCTTGTTACAAGAGAAAAAGGAACTCTTTGTATTTAAGCCATGATTAGCTTATGTTCTTATACTTAAAGTTCAAAAGCATTCTGGATACAGGCCTCCAAACAGTGTGGCCTGTATCCACAGGAGTGGTGTAGAGTTGGTACTGAGATAACCCTGTTTGCTTTTTCTTCAGTCTAGAGTGCCAGATTCCCCACTGTACTCAAAATCATGCTCTCCAAAAGTGAGGCCTCATTTTCCACAGGGGTGAGCTTCCTCAGAGGAGCTGCCCCATCTCCCATGTCCAGGCCCAGTCCCCCCGACCCCCCCGATGAGTACAAATACCAGCACTGGCCATCCCCTACTCCCCAAACCCTCACAGACCTGTGGTATCCCACTGACACCTCCCGATCCCTGGTGAGGTTGGCATGATCACCCATGCCCTATAGGTGACTCTTAGGGGAAATGACTCTTCCAAGGTCTCCTGGTGCACAACCTGGGGAACCTCCCCACTCCAGGGGGAGTCTCTATATTTGCCTCAGGGGCAGGGACACAGCGGCTTCTGTGACAATGGATGATGGCCAGACTAGGTGGCAGATTTTGTGCAGTGAGCTGGGGATGGGGTTGGGGAGGCCCACGTCTTCCTGGTGTGATAGGTTTCT